AAAAGTACTTCCATTTTTTTCTTGTATAAGAACACATTCCTGATTTTGTCCTTTTTCCCCCATTAAGATGCATAATGTCGTTGCTCCCCTTACCATTTTGCTGGCCAAGATTTGAACTTGGGCTTTTGTTTGTCCTTTTTTCTGTATGTCATGAGCAAAGTAATAAAGCCATCTAATCTCAGAGATTAAGAATGAGAAAAGTGTAGACAGGTATTTGGTTCTTCCAAAGTGTTTGAGCTAGAGAATCACAGGATTGACTAGTTTGGAGAAGACCATTGAGATTGAGTCCAGCCTATGATCCATCACCACCCTGTCAACTAGGCCATGACACTGAGTGCCATATCCAGTCTTTTCTTAAACACCTCCAGGGATGGTGGCTCTACCACCTCCCTGTGCAGACCATTCCAATGTCCCACCACTCCTTTTGTGAAGAAATGTTTCCTAATGTCCAGCCTAAACCCCACCCCTCAGTGCATCTTAAGACTGTGTGGTCTTGTTCTGTTGCTGGTGGCTGGGGGAAGAGACTGATCCCCATCTGACTACAGCCTCCTTTCAGGGAGTTGAAGAGTGACAAGGGCTCCCCTGAGTCTCCTTTTCTCCTCTATTCTTTAGGTTGTACAAAAACAGACTGCCAGAATTGCTTGTAACCTCCTTGTTCTAGGATTTTCCACCCTTTCTGCAGCCTCTCAACCAAGCTGCATTTGGTTATAAAAAGAAATTTTTGCTCATGCGGCAAGGGAGTCTTGAAGTCTAAGCAGCCTCATATGCTTCATTTCAAAAGTAGACAAAGTAGTGCTTTTCATTAGGTATGTCTAGGTAGTCATATACCCTTCCAAGGTAACACTAGCCTTGATGCTACTATTGAGGAGGTTTAATTCCAGAGCACGGGAACTAATCTGTACGGGTTTTACTTGCTATATGTTTTAGTGACTTAAGAGCAAGAATTGGATTTCCCACCTTAAGAAGGTTACTGTACAGTTAGTATGAAAGGCAGTATGAGAAAAAATGCTCAGCTGAAAGTTTTGCTCTTTCATGGTAGTTGAACTGCTTTATTTCTTCTCACCAACTTTCTTTTCCTTCCAGAAGAAAGTCTGAATAAAAAATTTCCCTTGGATTAAAGCATATTAATACATCAGTAAAAAGAAATTAATACATTAAACTATATACTTGGCTAAATATATTACTTGCTAATTTTTTAAATATTTTTTATTCTACATCTTATTTCATTGGCTCCATCAGACCATCTATTCAGTGTTTGCTTTGAAAGTAATGAAAAAAGGCATATTTGTTTTATATGGTCGGTTAATTTGCCCACTCACAAAAACAAAACTCTAAAATGCTAATTAAATTGTAGAGGCATGTTCCTATCCTAGGCTTGTATCAGAACTTCACACTTGTGACAAATTAACTGCTAATAGCTAACAAGTGCAAAGAGAGTGGTAAGTCAGCATTGCTGTTACCCATGCTGCTAAGTTTAAAATTTGCATGTCTGACGTGTGAAGTGTTCCATGTGTTTGTTTTAATGCTGTCATCTTTGATTTTGTGAGAAATAGATGAGATATTTTCAAGTTGTTCTAAAAGCAAGTTCCCATAATCATGCAAAAAGTCATTAGCCCTGGGGACGTTGACTGGAGATCTTCCAGTCCTGTGCTCTAACCACATTACAACACCGTGATGCTGAGAAACAGTATCTTGCCTGTGATGACACCCAGGTCTTTGGCATTTTTCTTGATATCTCACATTGAGGATTTGTGTAACTTGTTTTTCATATTTACTCTGTCATCTTTCTCCACTGTTAATATCCGAATATCTCTCCTTTGGGAAGTAGCTTTATTATTGCTATTTTTCAGCTGTAGCAGATTATGTTTTAAAGGCAAAAGATTGATATTTTGCTTGCCTGTGCTTGTAACTTGTAACAGTTCTTTTTTATATCCTTATTCAGATGTTCCTAGAACAGCATCCCAACCTAATGTCAAAGTGTTTCCACCCTCCAGATTATTAGAGAACATTTATATATGAACACGTCTAAAATACCATTTTTTCAGCGCTATATAAGACATTAGTCTGGGATGCAATAAAGTGCATTTCTGATGATTGCTGTTAAAATGTTTTTTCTCCAGCTGTTATTATATTGTAACCCTTCAGATACCACACTTCATGCTGAGGATGTTAAAGAGACAATTTTGAAAATATTTGAAAGTTTAACTAAAGAAGAGTTTTGCAAAATATAAATTCCAACTCAGTTATTTTCCTACAAACACCAATTGCTGCCTAAATTTCCATTCTTTCTCTTTCCATAGGATTGAAAATTCTTATAATATTTAAAGTTATTTTATTCCTGTAATTGTCTATCTCCATCAACCACATCGTTTAGTTCATGTTACAGGTTATATCCCTGCAGTTCTGCTCTAATTTATAATAATGGCTAAGTTGAATTTTTATTTCTTAGTACTTATGCATAGGTATTAATACTTAGTACTAATTTCATAGTCTTTATGCATAGGAAATTTCCCCCTCTGAGAAAAAGGGCATTCCAAGAGGCGTGAGCAGAACTGATGTTGCGCACATTACTTGGCCCGGGGATAACCAGCATGTTGGATGATACAGCGGAAATTGAAACTTTTTGACAGGGCCTGTTGGATGTAGCTGCCAGAGTAGCAGGTATCCATATACTCCATTTAAAGCCAAGGTGGTATTTGAGCTGTTTGTTCCATTCTTCTCCAGGCAGCCTCCCTCCTCCAGGTGTGGCTTCTATCCATTCACTTTCTATACTGAAAGACCCTCCTCCCATCACTTCTTTCCCAAACTTGATACCCATGAGGGATTTCTTGGCAATGCAATCTCCATCTGGGAAGCTATAGTTTAGCCACATGCCTTTCACCAGGCAAGGGATGATTTATTAATAAATTATATACCCTAAGCTGCTGTCTGTAGATATTTCTACATTTCTAGAGTATAGTCATATGTGCTTTGATGTTTGAGTGATAACACCTCAAAACTTGCATGTGACACCAAACAAAATCATAATGAAAAGAAAGGACGTTTGGATATAATGTCTTGTAAAACTTTTAAAGACACGTCTTTTAATTTAAATATTAAGACATTTTTAAAAGGCATTACTTAAACACAGAGCTAGAAGACTATTTGAGAATACTTGAAAATAAAGAAGAATCTTTTCAAGACTTGTTTTCATCTGTGATTTTTGAATTATTTACTTCAGGCTTTTCAAAATAATTCTGTAAATGGATAAGACATTTATTTGCCAATTAAAGTCAAACAGGCTTTTTTCAAATGAAGACAAATTAGGCTTTAAAATTAGTCTTCGTATGAAAAACAAACTTCAAATATAGTCTTGAAAAATTCTCTAGTCAAATTTGGCAACCAAATAAAGAATTGTGACAAATCAATAGGAAATTAGTTGAGATAATATAATTGTGAAATCTAGAGCCAGGTTTAGAATTAATCAGTTTCCAACTTGTCAGTGTGGTTTTGTGAATAAAGATTACAATTTTCTCATAGGTTACGTATATCTTACTTGTCAAATAAACTGAATTATATTCTTTGATATCTTAGCAGTTCAGCATTGATCATCATATTGCTTATTTTTTGTTTCTTCTCTTTTTTTCCCTAGTCCTATTTGTTGTTCTTGTTTTTCATTAATCCATTCCAAACAAATCATCTTAGAGTCTCCCATCCAAGTGTCTTAAAAGGGTAAGGGGGAAAAAATTACTCTTATAATAATGAAATAAGGAATTACTCTACCCAAAACAAGCTGTACCAAGGGAAGGCAGCAGAGATTCTTGTCTGTAATATGAGCATGAACTTTAAAAAGCACCTGTGTTCTCTAGATGTGTCTGCAAGCAAGTCTGTCAACCACCACCAGGAGAAGAGTGTCTGTCTACACAACTGATGTCAGCTAGCCTCCTCTGAAGTGCTTGTTATGTAGTTTTCTATTTCTTCCTTAGACTTAAACTTCTTTATTTTTGGCTACCCAAGCCTTATCTTTTTGTCTATGTCTTATTAACTCACCATCTCTTTTGGTGTCTGGTCTGAAACTTTGTATGTTCCCGTCATAACACCTCTCTAAAGTTCCCTGCCTGCTCCATCTTGCTTGTGTCACATTTCTGCAATGGAGCTGCTTAACTGCACAAGGATGAAGGCATGACTTATTAGTAGAAAACACCCTGTGAAACCCATGTTAAAGGCAAAAACCACAAAACGTAAGAGCAGCTTTCCTACCATGGGGACAATATGGATGGGCACCATCACCTTGTGGAGCTCATATATCAGGGCTAGGCAAAGCATCCCACTGTGGCTTTGCACTATGGGGAAGGGGGTGGGCAACCACTGGACATTTCATGTTTTCCTTCAGCCGCTTCTTGAATTTGAGCAGCTCAGGTCTGCTTACAGGCACAGAGCATACATCTGATGTGAAGGGTACTTCTGACATTTTTATTGCTCCCAGAAAGGCAAGCAGGCTTGCAGGGTTGCGCCAAGGCAGGACCAAGATGTGCCTAAGCTTTGAGCATACCTGGCATACTGTCTTAGCCTCACCTCTCAACAGCAGTGTGGGCATTGGTGTAGCCTCATCTTCCTCATGGCATATTGTGCGTACTGGAGGTTGGATGGACGTACACCTACTAGCAATAGGAGTGGTTGTCAGAGAATTCTGGACATTTTGTTTAAATGTAGAATTTTGTTCAAAATTAAGAACCAATATCTAAGACTCATTTCTGTTGCCTTGAGTTATGTATCATTGCTGTATGTGTTTATTAGAAACTGTGCGTGTTTTCCATAGGCACGAGGAGTTTAAAGTGATTGTGGTAATGTTAAAACACACTCAGAGGAATATGGGTAGCATGGGTATAAATTACTGTGAGGGGTTAAATAGCGCAAGACATGGTGAGTAGCTGTTCATTTAGCACCTGAGGATAAGCAAAATCAAAGCCTTTAATCCCAATGGTTTGTGCTTACTTGGAAAAATGTTTGTCTGACTGCAGGCATGGAACCCGTTGTGCTGGAGAAGTGGCAGCCACGGCAAACAACTCACACTGCACAGTAGGAATCGCCTTTAATGCCAAGATTGGAGGTATGTGAAACAATCTCCCACAGGAAAAAAACATGTAACCAAAGAGCCATTTGTGCTAAATGCTGCATTCAGATCTTTCTCAACAAGAGAAGGAGATTTGTATGAACAAGCCTCACTGTGTTACTAGTAATGCTTAGTTGTAGAATGTTCATTCAATATCAATACTGAAGGAGTTTGTCTGTGGTGGCCCTTCTGTAGTGCTCTCTGGAATGCTGCCTCCCAGTACACATCAAAAAATAGAAAGTAAAATTTTTGATGAAAACATGACCCTGGAATTAGGACATTGGGGTTTTCTCACAGATTCAGAGCTCTTAAGTGATGAACTTCAACAAACCATGAGTACACATCAGTAATATTGCCTTGCATATTGATCCCAAATGAAACACTCTCAAAACATAATGCATTTTTGTTGCTTATGATTGGTAGGAATACTCTTGTTATCTCTATGGGTGATAAGATTATTGCCTGAAAATCAATGTTTGATGACATAATTTTGTTCATTCAGCCAAGAGGTTTCAAGTGTTTTCTGTAAATTCTTAGTTATTGGTGGTTCGATTAATGTCTTTAGCTTAGTTTGTGGCAATGATTATCAAGATGTCATCTGCATGTCTCCTGGGATGTAGCCTGCCTGTGACAGACTGTAATACTTCTAGTGAAGTTTATTCTGAACTTTTGATGAAATCATGGGATTAGTATATTGGCTTTCAGCTGAAAGACTTGTAGCTCAGTCTCATTAATTGTTGCCTTTTGAAATAGATCTTAAAATAGAGCCCATCTGTGAAAACAGAAACATGTTTACCTATTTGTACATCAGAGGACTGTTCAAAAATATGATCAGGCAGAATTGAGACCATGTTTCCATTATTGAAAATACTGCATCTATTCTCTGCTGGATCAGTTTGATCCAAATCAAATGTGAGCACAGGTGCATTTCAAATTACCCAAAGCACACAACATCATCCTCATATCAGCTTTCCGTTTTCCTGCTGGAAAAACAAAATTAGGGTAGATAATACCACATCCAGGATAAGGTTACACTGATGCAGAAAAAGAATTTCCCCTCAGGTGAAGAGCCTTGCTGCACAAACACTGTTGGAGTGGTTTGGAAAATCAGAACTGGTCAAGTGAGGGAGTTTGTGACAGATGAACAGGTTGTCTCATGTGAACATGGCATTTAACCGTGTACAGCAGTTATGATATCAGATCTCTTGAGTTGTCAACCAGAGTCAGAAGAGAGTTAGTGCACTGATGGAAACAAGAGATGCCTTCTGGAGAAGTTCTCTTTTTAAGTGGAATAGTCACACAAGCTTTGACATGGCTTTGAAAAGTTTATACTAAATATAGTGTAAAAACTGATTCAGATGGACACAGTATGCAGGTAATAGAAACGGTAAAGACTAGATACCTATGCCTCTTTTTTTATTTATTCTTAAAAGAAAGCTGTAAATTAGTAACAGTGTACAAACTTCACTTGGGGTGCCACCTTTTAAAAGGATCAGCATTTGGAAATAAGACTTCAGGAAGCTCAACAAATAATCTGCAGAAAATCAGAGTTAAGAGGAAGTTCCAGGGAAAGTAGGTTAAGCTTCCTCTTCCATCCAAAGCAGAGCTTTGCTGCTGCTGACCTCTACTTGGCATGCCTTGTTCCTTTCCCTCAGAACAGCTATAAGCTATACATGTTTATATACAGTCGTTGTGTTCCCTCTCTACAGGTCAGATAGAGTGTAAAAATTTTGAATCATATAATGCTGAACTAGTATTCAGCTCACTTGTTTCCCAGGGTTTAAAGGTCCTCCTGGGGTATTCTTGGAGAAGAAACTAGAGTTGAAGTAAAGCAATTACATTCTCCTTATATAGAGGAGCACCTGCTTACAATGGTGTTGGATTTGCTCCACCAAGATAAGTATCTTTTACTTCAAACCAGAAAGCATTTCTGGACACATAAGGGATAGTAAGGATATCAAGCAAAAGGGAAAAAAATCTGTCTCCATCAATGTGCCATAAAATACTGGCAGTTGAACAAATCCAGTTAATGATCTTTCTGATGGGAAGTTGTTAACAAGATATCCATTAATAATGCTCATTTTCTTCTAAATGTGTTTATACTCCTTGTCTCATTTCCAAATATTTAAGAACTTCTGATGACCAAGTTTCTTAGAAAGTCTGAGCTTTCTTTTAAAATGTGTAAATGAAGATGTAACCTGTAGAAAAGAAAATTTTAGTCAAATTGTAATCTGGGTCCTCAGTCTTTTTACAGGTTATGACAAGTTTCTTATAAAAATTATACAAGTTTCTGTATAGCTAAGCTCTATAGGTGCCTCTCACTAAAAGACAAACCAGTGCACCAAAGGGATGGATCTTTTTTTTTAGATTTAAACTCTGCAATAATCACATGAAACAAATTACCAGGTACAGAGCTTGTGAGACTTTTTATAGGAAGGGTTGGTTAGCTTGCTGTTATTATTGCAAACTGATTGTGGAAGTTGTAAAACATCTGTGGTGATTTGGGTGTTTAGTTACTTGGCTGGGCTCAAGTCCTGATGGGAAAAGTTACACTGAATTATGGCACAACAGATGTATATTGTCTTCAGTTGACGAGGATTAGTTCAGCTGTTTCTTTAAATCAGATGTTGAATAAAAATGAGCATTTTAAAAGAAAATTTCCTTTCAACTCAGTTTTGCATGTTTCCTGTGATTCATTGAAAATTTGTTCTGAGTAAAAAGCCACTTACATTTTGCAATTACTTCAAATGTTAAAAAAAGTTTATAAGGACTCTGAAGTCTTGAAACAGTCTGCAAACACGGTCTGCTAATTGCCTTTTGGATAGCTTTTGTTGTCCTATCACTACATGCCAAATGCAGTTTGGAGGATGGGTGATCAGCAGACTTAACCAATGCAGACATTGCGCGGGGGGGATAGGAAGGCAGGAATAAAGGAAGGATCATTATTTTCATTGCAAATATCCAATGAGATGTCTGTTGTTCAAAGTCATCTTGCACATTATTACAGAAGTACGGTCTTTTAGGCTGGATAAGACCAAGATCATCAAGTTCAACCTTTGACTGATTACCACCACCTTGCAAACTAGAGCAAAGCACTAAGTGCCATGTCTTGCTTTTTCTTGAACGCTCCAGGGATGGTGATACCACCACCTCCCTGAGCAATCTGCTCCACTGTTTAAACAAACCTTTGAGTGAAGAAATTATTTCTGATGACCACCCTGAACCTCCCCTGGTGCAATCTGAGGCTATGTCCTCTCATCCTGTTGCTGGTTGCCTCGGAGAAGAAGCCAACCCCTACCTTACTATGCCCTCCT